ACTGGGCTACGTTAAAATATACTACTAAAGTTAATTACATTTTTAATTGGGCTACTAGAAAATTTTAAATTACTTATGTGGCAAGCACCAGACACTTTAGGTCTGGGACTAAGAGAAAATAGTAACAGAATTATCCAGTTTGTTTCACTAACTAAATTAAGCCTAAGTCCTTCAAAGCAGCATCTTAAAAGGGAAAATTTCTCTTTCTATATGTGTGTGTGTGTGTGTGTGTGTGTGTGTATTCAAGATTACAGAAAACACAGAGCCTATGAAAACATACTAGACTAATATTTCACATATTCAACATATAAGATTACATTATGGGGCTGAACATGGTGGTGCACACTTTTAATCCCAACACTCAGGAAGCAAAGGCAGGCAGAACTCTATGAGATAGAAGCAAGCCTGGTTCCAGGCCAGTTCCAGGCCAGTTGGGGTTACAGGGGGACCCTGTCTCAAAAAAAAAAAAAAAAAAAAAAGTAGTTTCTAAAAATGCATGTGCTAAATGTAAAAACAAAACAAAAAAACAGTGAAAGCAAAAGCAAAGGCAGCACTGCTCTCCAGGCTTGCCACAGCTTGCATTGGCATCAGATTTACAAACATCTCTACACAGAATTTTCCGTTCTTCATCTGTGGCTGTCGTGTGGAGATTGCTCACCTTTGGGAAGATGGGCCCCCAAACTGGCCATTCACAGCGACCTGCAAGAAGCATTAACTCAGGGACAGTGATATAGGTAAGCTAGGTTTTCAGATCAGAGCTAAGAATGAAGACTGTCCCCTTCAACCCACCACCTTCCCAAATAGAATAAGAAATCAAAGTAAGAAATCCAGACGTGTATTAGCATGGAACACTTCCCAGTTCTCATTTTGTGACTGAGAGAAGACTAATACACTCAATTTCTTTGGCTATCCAATAGCTGAATCTAACTGTGACAGTCAAGTTCTTCCAGAACACAATAAATGAAAATTACCCATTATAAGTATTGACAATGTAAAACTAATGATAAATCACATTTCACATCCACCTCCAAACCAGGATCTTGATACAAAATACAGTGGCAGCTCAAGTCACACAGAACAGAAGCCACTTGGTGAAGGCACAGGGCTGGCCTCTCTTAGGAATGGTGCTGCCAGCTGCACCAGAGAAGTAGAAATGGCCTTTTACTACCTGGTATTCAGCACACAGGATGGCAAAGTAGGAAGACAAAGAAACGTAACCATTCCGGTAAAAAAGAAACAGAAAATAGGATTTGTGGGATAAATTACAAAGTCTGATGAAAGAATTCTTGCCAATAAAGCATGGTAAAAAACACCGTGTATCCAGATGCCAGGGATCCAAGTGCAACTGATTATGACTAGTAATAATCAGATACATACAGATTAGAGATGCATGTGCCAACATCTCGGTGTTAGTAGCAAAAACAATGAGTCTTTCTGCAAGGAACAATATATTCCAAAATGAAACGTAGATC